ACATTACTGGCCTTAACATCTCTGTGAATCACCGCCTGCTCGTACTCTTCGTGTAGATACAGAAGAGCAGAGGCCACGTCTTTGATGATCTTCATCCTCTGCTCCCAATTAAGCGTTTTCTCGGGTTCGTGAAATAGGTATTTATCCAAGCTTCCATTCGCCATGTAATCGTACACAAGAAGAAGATCTTCCCGGCGGCGGCGACTCCATCCCACCAATTGAACTAAATTCCGGTGGCGAAGCAGACCGATTGTCTTGATTTCAGAGACGAATTCGCGTAGGCCTTGATTCGAATCTTGGGAAATTCGCTTAACCGCGACTTCGGTTTTCGAAATTGGGAGAATTCCCCTGTATACCTTGCCGAATCCGCCCTGCCCAAGAAGCTCTGTTTCTCTGAAGCCATTGGTGGCTTTCTTCAGCTCCTTATAAGAGAACCGCCGCGGCCCAATTTCGAGCTCCCACGATTCAATTCTGTCGTGGTGCTTAATCCTTCTGATCAAGTAGAACACAACACACAGTACTGAAACTGTAAACACTACTACCGAAACAGAGATGACTGCGATTAAAGTAGCTGGGCGTCGTCCGAAGGGCAGAGGAAGTGAAGAAAGATCTAATTCTCGAGCTTCACCGTTCATTCTGAAGCTCCAGCCCAAGATGTAATGCGAGCTACCGTACACGCCGGTGGCGGCAGAGAACCCAACGTACATATATTCGTTTAGAATCAGCGACASATCAACTTTATACGACAGAATCGGAATTCCGGGTTTGGAATTATATGGGGAAATTGAGACATTGAGAGAGTTTTGGGTGGAATCGTAGTCGATCCAAGCTTTGATTACCTTCCCACTTTTGAGGAACAGAGCCCGATTGGTTTGGCTGTCGTCGAAATACACTGCGGCGACGGATGCGTTGGAAATAAAGCTGCCGATGTCGATTCCGACGTGGTTGTCGTTGATATCTAGGAATTGGGGATCCTGAAAAGTGTCGAATTCGACGGCGAAGAGATGTTTGGGGAAGTCGCCATTGTTGGTCAAATTGGGGAGACCCAAATACTCTGCGGGGAAGCCGAGAAAAGTGTGGGAAGGTGCGATGGTGAAAGTTAGGCCATGGCCGCAGAGATTTGGAGCTTGGGGAATCTCGGGGATGATGAGGAAAGCAAATGAGGTGGAGAAAGAGGGAGCTCTGCCATTGGAGGTGATGAACTTGAGAGGAAATTTGTGAAATGCACGACCAGATAACAGCCTGTTCGACAGGTCTGTCAATTTCAGAGTGGCATTTTTCTCGATTTCTGCCGTCCCGTTCAAAGTGATGCTGGAGAATCCCTTGTCAAATCCATCGTAGTAGAACTCGTGGTTCTGGGATGACAGTGACAGTGATTTGATGAACAGAAAAACAGCGGCAATCAAAAATCTGGTGAGAAAAACAGTAGCCATGGCCTATTACCATTAGGAGATGGTCACCCACAACATAACTTCGACATCCAAGTTAACAATCTGATTTGTTAATAGAAAGAAATTAGTTACACTTTTTGAGACAAATTGAAAATCCTCTCGCAGTAAAGAATTGGTTACCTTGCACAGTGGACCGTAGCCAGTGTTGCCGAACCACTTGAAATCCTGTGTTCTTCTTCTTCTCCGAAGTTATCCATTCTCTCATCTCTGTGATCTTCATTTCTCCATTTTTCTTTACATTTTCTGCACGTGGTACTTCACTAAGAGAAAGAGAGAGCAATAAAGGAGAAAATACAACACACAGAGATAAGAAAGTAGAGGAGTTAGTGGTGTTATTCTTTATTTTCACAATGTGAACGCACGTTATTTAGGCCCCTTTAAGCATTACGTTTTTTTTTTCATTTTTATTTATATAAGTTGGAAAAAAGGAACTGCACGTAGAACGAGGAAAGAGAAACACAAAGAAAATTTGAGAAAAGTAAAAACTTCCATACAAGACGTTTTCACCGCGAGGTCTATCCATCGTCCGATTAAGGTGGAATTTTGACAACAGTGTTCATAGCACGAGAGTCTACAATGTAGACGGTGAAAATTTCTTGATTATAACGGAGATTTTAATTTCATCCATTATTTTTTACTTCTCATTTTGAGGTGGTTTTTTTTTGTTTGTGGGTATTTGTTTGAATTATTATTTTTAAAATTAACTGTTTATCCTAACAAGTGGGACAGTTCATAATCCCACTCACAAAACTCGTATTTGAGCCTCAAGAGACTTATAAGGGTGGTCGCAAAATTTTGCGTCATTTATGTGAGAATTTTCATCGTCCTCAAGCTGTTCGTTTCCAACTAGTTTTTTATCTCGATCAAGTCGTGCATTGAAAATACGGTAACAACGAACATATTGATTTTTTGGCCTTTAATGTGAAATTAATTAATTAATTAATTAATATTTTGATGATAACAATTTAATTTTGTTTATTAACAATTTTAATGTTTTGAAGTGTTCACAGTGTAGAGCTCGATATAAGGATTCCAACATTTTATTACCCAAATCGGAGTTCAAACCAAGAAGTTACCATCAATGAAACACGGACACGTCGCGTGCTGAAATTTTCAGCGAAAAAAATTGGAAAAAGAAAGCGAAAAGAAATTTAAAAAAAATAGAAAAGAAAGAAAATGAAATTAAAAAAAAAAAGAGTGACCGTTGTCAAAATTTAAAAAAAAAATGTCAGGCAGCACGCGGCAGGTGACATTAAAAAAACCATTTTTTTTTGCTTTTTTGTTTTTGTTTTTTGAAACAAAAGAAGAAATCAATTTTTGTTAACTAGCCGTTGGAGTGATTTTATATTTATTATTATTTTTATATTTTTATATGATTTTTATTTTCCAGCAATCTAAGGGCTATAAATCAATTTTGATTTCAAATTTCTTTTGAACTTTTCATTTTTTATTTCAACTTGTCGTTATCTCAAATTTTAAACAACAATTTTTCCCCATTTTCTCTCCAACTACTAAATGTTTGGTTTATTCTCCTCAATGCTTCAATGTTATTCTAATTTATTGGAGGAGAAATTTTATTTGAGAGATTGTTGAACTATTCAATTTTATTTTTTCTTAGTCATTTGAGGGTTTTATTTTGTAAGAATTTTTTTTTACAAAAATTGTGAGCAAAAATTTCTATATCCGCTGTTTGAGAGAGTTTGTAAGTTTGTTCTCAAATTTCTATATTCTTTGTAAGGGTTGCTCCTGAACCGTGGAAAATGATCGGGTTCGTTCTTGCTCCCGTAAAATGAACTGTGTATCGGTTGGACTCTAAGTCCTCGAGAGAGTCAAGATATGCAATTGAACACCCAATAAGAGCTTGGAAAGTGGAGTATTTGTTATTTGTGTTTGATGTGCAATATTTACTGCTTGAAATGTTATATCTAATTTATTGATTAATTTTATGTCAAAATTACGTGTTCGTAAAAAGTTTACTTATTTGAATTGGGTACACGTATTAAAATGTTTATAAAATTTCATTAAACCTTATTCACCCCCCTCTAGTATTGTCATACTGATTCAACACGCTCGTGATGCAATCGGACTCAATCGCAAAGAAGGGGAAGAAGGAATTAATCTGATTTCCAAGTGGGATTAGAGTGAAAGACGACATCGGAATTGGGTACAAACAATTCAAATCACCAACGGGTGAGAAACCACGGTTAATAACAGAGTATACACATCGATACTGACGACGACGGAGTATGCACATCTCATGGCTAATTTACTGTTGTTTTACGTTTAATCATTAAATGGCCATTTTATTTAAGGTTTCAAAAATTAGCCAGGGTATTTCTTAAAAAAAAAAAAGTCATAGATAACAGATGTTTGCAAATAAGATGTCCAAATGAAAAATAGTTAAATATCGATGGTGATAATTAATTATTTAAAAAAAAACGAAATTTGTTTTTGCGTTAAGAAGTCAAATATCTTAGATTTTAAATTAAAAATAATTATATTTGGTTGTGCATGGATTGTCATAAAATAAAAATGAATTATATTTATGTTTATTTTGTATGATTATTCTAAGAATATGAATTTTTTTTATGTGTGTATATACACTAATTAATAACTAATTAAATCTAGATCAAATAAATAATATAAAGAATTTTATATTAACATTCTAAAATTAATATTTAAATATTGAATTATTTTTATATAATTTAATTTGATACAATCCAATTCAATCTAGTTTATTCTTACCACTTTATTTAGTTTTCAATAATTAGTAAAAATTAATGTATATCAATTAAGTTTAATTATTAATTTGATTGTAAATATCGTGATTTAAGTTATTTTAGTTAATTAATCTAAAATCAATCAATTGAATTAGTTTTATTTACTAATCCATTTTAATTGATTAATTTATATCAAAATATGGTAAATATAAATCATATAAGATTTTAATTGTACTGATTAATTCATCACAATGAATGTTAAATAATTAATAGGAAATGTTGGTTAACTAAAATCCAACGTATACATATAGATGGCGTATAACTAATTAGTACAAATTTTATTAAAAAGAATTAGTGTATAATTTTATTGGAATGTTAAAAAAACATTTGAGTTAAAAAATATTGAAATGATTGTAGTTTCTAAATTTATTAAACTAGAATACAAGTATTTGGTATGTTTTCTAAAAGATAAATCCAGGTACAAACTCAAGAAAATGAAAGGGTACAGAAAATACTTAAGCTAATTGGAATACTTTGATATTTGAAAATAATTTTTTCTTTGATAAAATATAAAAAAACTCTTTACCAAATATGGGTTTCATCGTACCTATTCTCGCCTAACAAAACTTATACAATCAGTCAAGAGCTAAGGGTTTTCGGGTTTAACTATTTTTTTTTGCGTAATAAAAAATGATTTTTCATGTAGAAAATCAGTTTAGCATGATGAGTTTCGGAAATAGTATTTTAAAACAAGAATGAATATTTCTTTTTCTATTTTCATGTATTTAAATTATCATTTATTTGTAATCATCTATTTATTATTTTTTTTTTAAAGTATTACTTGTGGTAAAACTTCCAACCAATGATTTTAAAAATTTATCAAAAAGATAACTTTGTTTTTCTTGTCTACGAATTTTAACACATTTGGCAAAGGTTAATTACAAAAACACAATTATTATTTTTTTCTTTTTTGGAAGAATTCTCACGTGCAACTATCTATATATCTTTGTACAAGTAAAATTGATAAGAAATGCAACTAAAAAGCCTTTAAAAGTTATATATGATTAAATTTGAATAGTTTAAGTGTCATGATCACTATTTTATTTTTAAACTATACTTGTTTTAACAAGTTTTTGAACATTTATAAAAATCATATAACAAAGTAAATCGACGAAAATAATGTTTTTAAGTTTTATTTTTAAAAATATAAAACAAAAAATGATAGAATTATCAAACACGGTCTTATATTTTATAAATTATCTTTCCATTTATTTCAAAAAAAAAATTATCCTTCCAATTAATATTTCTCACGGGTGAAAGACTTCAAATTTAAATCATGGTCGTTTTTAATTGGGAAACTTTTCTAAAACAACTTATGTTTTTTCAAAACAACTTCTAGAAATGAATGCACCTTCAATAGTATTAATGTACTTAAGGAATGCCTCCAATCATATTGTTGGAGGTGAATTGTCAACTTACACGTGGCGTATAACGATTGGGTGTTCGTCTCTGTTAAAGATCCCACATTGAAAATGAAAGAGACCTCACAATGTTTATAATAGACATGGACTACTCCTCTCATTGCCAATTGATTTTGAGATGAAACCTCAGGAATATTAACATAGAAAGGAAAAAGTTCACATTTTGGTAAAACTTCAAACTAGTTCAAAATTTCTATCCTTTAGTCTTCACACCAGTGGGCCCCCTTTTTTTTTCTTTTCCTGATGGTGTGAAAACATTGCACTAGGAATCAAGTTTCTTGTCCGGTCCCTCCACTATTCCAAGCACTCCATTATACTTAAAAAGCAAAATGATGGCCAAATATATTTTTGGTTTTTTAAATTTGAAGTTGGTACATATTTAATCTACGAGATTTCAAAAAAGACATTTTTAGTTATCAATTAGAGGATTGAATTTCTATCATGAAATTAAAAACATCTTTTAGATCAGATCGGGGTGGATCTATGTGGGGTCGAGGGGTTGAGTCCGTATAAAAGTCTCGGTAAAATTAATACATATGCATTTGGCTTAGTAGCAATGCGAGTAGATAATTGTTTTTATTATGTAATTCATACATTTTTCACTATCTTTTTATAATTCATAATTTCTGCCTCATTTTCCTATTCAATTTTCATGAAGCTCATCAATTTTATTTTTAAAGATGGAAAATAAATTAGAGATTATGTCAATTTTACAAAATAAAAAAAAATAGAAAATTTTCAACTAGACAAATATGTCAATTTAAAAAAAATGAAAAGGAAAGACGACTCTTCAGTAACCCAAGATGACTCCTTTGACTTCTTTGATTGAGAATATATAAGTTAATGAGACATTTAAAACTTATTTTTAAATTGAGTAGCCACCCCATATTCTTTTGAATGTAAGAGATATTTTTTCTATAAATTATTGTAATAATATTTTTTTTATCATTTTCAAAATTTAATTTAATTTTTTATCTAAAACAAATCTCCAATTTATAGTTCATACTCTCACATATGGATATTCGTCGAAGCCTCAAGCCACCCAAGTTATCCCTTGGGCACCATGCTTGAAAATAAAGTGTCCAAATAGGAAATACTTGGAAAATCGTCTTTGGTTAACGTAGCCCCTAATATTGGGGTAGCTCTGTCTCATGGGGACAGCAGGAAGAGGAAAGAGTTTGAAGAAATTTTATTGATAATCAAGATCCCCTACGGATCATTCACTAGATCTATCCGGCCTGGAATCCAAGGAACCGATGGTTAACCCTCTTTTTTAGTGATTGTCATCTAGAGACAAGTTCTCGTTTTTTACTTAGAAGGAAGGTCCTCAAAGCCTCTTCACTCCAATGATGATGATGAAGCCAAGACGGTGCAGCAGGGGAACATGGTGTCCATGAAAATTGTAAACCCAGTGACAAAAGACTCATCCACTCTCATCATCCCAACCAATGGAGCACCACGCAATTGGTCTTCTCTTCCTTAGCTTCAGTCTTTCAGTGTTCGAGATGAACCAGTCGTAGTTAACTCTGGCTCTTTAATAGTAAGGAATAACTTCCTCCTTAACACCATTAAATATTTGACAACTGATTCTTTTATAAAAAGAATGTTTTGTTTTTGCATTTGTCTCCCCTGCTATTAAGGAGACAAGTATTTTCGATTTTGAATTAAAAAATAATTGTATTTGGTTGTGCACGAACAAGAACGTCATCAGATAAACCTTTCTAAGCAACTTTTTTTTGTTTTTTCAAAACAACGGGTAGAAATGAATGCACCTTCAATATATGGAATCCATCCAACCATATAATAGTACTATCTTGGAATTTTCATAGCTACCATTATGAAGAAAAATGCAAAGTTTTGGCTTCTGTTTCTGTTTTTCCTTTTTTGTTCTCTCTTTTTTTATGCTGTAAATATAGAAACATTAAAGGCAACAGCTAGCCTTCTTCTACAACACACCAAAAAATATTTCCAATTATACTTTTGCCATTAGAGGTTTTCAAGCCAGATTCCAAAAGGTGAGCTGCTGCTTTGATTCCACTATTTTTCACAAAGGAAAATTTTGCTCCAAAACGTTTTCCAAATTGTAAACTTCAAACTAGTTCAAAATTTCTCTCTTTTAATTCAATTCTTCAAACTAGTGGGTCCTTTTTTGTTTTGTTTTTTTCAATTTTCCCTCGTAACGTGAAAACATTGCATTAGGAATCAAGTTTCTTGCCTGGTCTCTCCCAGTCTGATTAAAGCACTCAATTATACTTAAAAAAGTAAAAAGAAGGTGAAATATATTTTTAGTTCATCAGATTTGAAGTTGGTACATGTCTGGTCTATAAGATTTCAAAAAGGATAGTTCTAGATACTAATGGAAGGATTAGATTTCAAACGATGGTGGATTCGGAGTGGAACCGATCGAGAAAATAAAGTATTTGATAGTCCATTGCCTTGAATCGAGAGGAGAAGAACCAAAGAAAAGAGTTTCCGTAGCAGGGATCACACGCCTTCTTTTACTACTACTAGGGGTTTAGAGGGGCATTTGATCCAAGAGAGCCTCTTCCCTGGTACTCCCTTTCTGAAATCTGCAACTACAGCATATCAACAGATTAATTATTTTAATGCAATGTATTAAGTTTTTTGTGAATCTAAATTTAGGATGAGTTGGATATATTTTTTTAACTTGGAGAATTTGTTTCGGAAAATATTTAAACTACAATGTATAATTGCCATTTTTTAGATAATTATATCTCTCAATAATGAATGTTTCTTCAAAAGGGGATTTCAGACCAATATTTTTTTTCTTTCCTTTTTCTTTTATTATCAAACACCAAATATATATTTTTTAAATTGTTATTAGTATCTAAAACCACTAAAAAGAATTATACTAAATACACTTTAAATTAATAAATTTATTAAAAGTTCCCATTGAAAAAATGTCTTATTAAAAACTAAAATTTTAAAAGTCATCTCAAACACGCTAAAGAAGTTATATATATATATTAGGCACAAATGAAATGATTACAACAACAATAAATAGTAMTTTGAAAATAACCAATTATGTCGAGAGGGTGGAATATTATCCTCCACTTTGGAGGTAACATTTCTGAGTGGAACTATATATGCCTCCCATAAAAATTTTAAGTTCGAAAATGATTATATGTTTAATCACATTACAAAGCAGACATCTTTTAAAAAGTTGAAAGTTTGAATATACACCTCATTTAAATGAAAAAAAAAACACTATATATGTTGTGTATCTTAATCATTTGAAAAATTAATTAGAAATTACTTAACAACTTAAGTTAAATTCTAAATCTTGAAAATAGTAATAAATAGGAAATAGGTGCTTGGTAATCTAGAATTTCAAATGATAAAGTTGTCCTAAGTAACATTTGAAGTTGTGATAATGATTTATTCAACACACATCATCTTCTATATTATGGAATTAAAAACATCTCTTAAATCCGTCTTTGAAGCAAATATATTAGTGACTTTTTTGCTAATCATCTTACGTACATA